TCCCTCTACACTGTCCCCCATCAAACACTCCCAGGACAGGGACAGCATGGGGTTAAACATGGAGTAAAGCTCCCTCTCCAATCTACCTGTGGAATGGGATCGAGTGAATTGGTTCTGTGGAGCATGAGCACAGACCCAAAGTGCCAAATGAGTGCCTGTAGTGTTTGAGCCATTCCACTGTCCTATGATTCTGTCACAATGCAGCCCCATTAATGCCTGGAAAAATATTAGCGCCAGTGACACTGAGCGACGGGCTTCTCTCTCTTTTGCAGTTCCCCCCGTGGTCAAAGTTCAAACTCCTTCCGTCCACTTGAGAGAAGGTGACGACCTGACGTTGACTTGCCTGGTGACAGGAAACCCGCAGTAAGTACGATCCCAACCTGCCCTCAGAGCTCGGTTACCGTGAGACAGCTCAGTCCAAATCAGCTCGTCTCCGCTGAGGAAATTTGAAAGTCTGTGATGTTCTTCTGGGTTATACTCTCCATAAACTGGGCAGCACCTGCTGAACAATACTGAGTGCGCAATAATTTCTGTGACAACTAATGTGAAATAATCAGCAGCGCTTGTATCAAGACTAGGTTGAGCTCGCTCGAAGTGATTTACCTTCATAGGTGACTTCTGCACACTCTGTAAACAAGAGGAATATGACCAAGCCTTACACCTAGCTTTCGAATGACCCTGGATCTCAGGGAGCCTGTACTTCACCATTGCTTTCTCCATGGCAATCGCTTGACTTGTCAACCAATGAGAATCCTTTTCTCCACGATTATAAATAATGGTGATTATCAGAAATTTGGCATTCTTGCATTTTGTCCAGATCGCTGTAGAACGAAATGTTGGACAACGTGTCTCTCTTTTCAGAAATAGGCAATTTAAGAAATTACTGGTATCATAAACAGGAAATGCTGTGCTCACTCTCTGTGTGCAAACTTCAACAGAAAAATCTACAGCCATTCGGTCCATCTTTCCCTTCTGTGGTTGCCCCTCTGCATAATGAATCATGTGTTCTCACTGCAGATTGTGGGAGTGAGTCCCAAATCCTGCCCCCCCATTCCCCCACCGTGGGAGTGAGTACCACATTCTCCCAAACTCCCTGTGCGAGTGAATCCAACATTTCATTCCCCGCCCCGGTTCCCTGTGGGAGTCCCACATTCTCCCAAATTCCCTGTCGGAGTAAGTCCCACATTCCCAATCCCTTTTTCCTGTGGGAGTGCGTCCCACATTCTCCCTAACTCCCTGTGGGAGTGAGCCCTACATTCCCCCCTCCACTCAATGTGGGAGTGAGTCCTACATTCCCATCCCAGTCCCTGCAAGAGTGAGTTCCACATTTCCCAACTTTGGGAGAACAAGTTTCCCTTGAATTCCCCACTGGATTTCTAAGCAACAAGCACATATTAACAGTTTCTTCTTTTCATTTCCCCATTTGTCCCCGCATTGTTTTTCACTCATGGAAAGTTAGTGTCGCTGGCTGGGTCCAGCATTTATTGCCCCGTCCCTAGTTGCCCCCTTGAGAAGGTGGGGGTGAGCTGCCTTCTTGAGCTGTTGCAGTCCTTGTGCTGTAGGTTAACCCACAATGCCCCTTAAAGAGGGAATTCCATGATTTTGACCCAGCGACACTGAAGGAACGGGGATATATTTCCAAGTCAGGATGGTGAGGGGCTCGGAGGGGAACTTGCAGGGGGTGATGTTCCCATGTATCTGCTGCCCCTTGTCCTTCTAGATGGAAGTGGTCGTGGGTTTGGAAGGTGCTGCCTGAGGGTCTTTGGTGAATTTCTGCAGCGCATCTTGTAGATGGTACACACTGCTGCTACTGAGCGTCGGTGGGGGAGGGAGTGGGATGTTTGTGGATGTGGTGCCAATCAAACTGCTGATACAGTTACTGAGGAGTCCTGAATTACGCACTGCAGGAAGGTCAGTGCTGAGGGAGCGCCGCTCTGTCGGAGGGTCAGTGCTGAGGGAGCGCCGCACTGTCGGAGGGTCTGTGCTGAGGGAGCACCGTACTGTCGGAGGGTCAGTGCTGAGGGAGCGCCGCACTGTCAGAGGGTCAGTGCTGAGGGAGTGGGCACTGTCGGAGGGTCAGTGCTGAGGGAGCGCTGCACTGTCAGAGGGTCAGTGCTGAGGGAGTGGGCACTGTCGGAGGGTCAGTGCTGAGGGAGCGCCGCACTGTCAGAGGGTCAGTGCTGAGGGAGTGTGCACTGTCATAAGTGGGTGCTGAAGATTGCCTGGACTCAATTTCAGTGAAGAGCAAGAAGCAGGCATTCTCCCCTCTACTTTGTATCCAATGTTTGGTCCTCACCCAGTATCTGAGTGAGAGAGAGCTTGGTTCTCAGGTACAGTGCTGTACATGATTTCTGTTTGATTAGATACAACTAGTGCACTTTGAGCTGAGGTTTTGGAGTTGGTGAGAGTCCTTGGCTGATGGCAACTTGACAGAATGATAAACCACTCGAGTGACAATCTGAATCAGCTCCATACACAACATCACCAACAGATGGTACAGACATCTGCTCGATACTGGCATTAACCAGAACCAGTACCATCTGTCCCACCCTTGACTTGGGAGACACTAGTTAATGTGAACCATGAACTGTTCAGAAAGCCAGCCCCACTGACTCACACCAATGCAGACTCAAATCTGTTCCATCTTCGTTTATTTACATGCATTCTACCCTCCAGGAGTTCATGTACAACAAATAGGATTATCATGTTCCACATCCGAGATCGTAATCCATCTGAAAGGCGCAGTGAGAGAGTGAGATTGAAGCTTCCTCCACACTGTCTGCATCAAACACTCCCAGGACAGGCACAGCACGGTGTTAGATACTGAGTAAAGCTCTCTCTACATTTTTCCCATCAAACACTCCCAGGACAGGTACAGCACAGGATTAGATACAGAGTAAAGCTCTCTCTACACTGTCCCCCATCAAACTCTCCCAGGACAGGGACAGCACAGGGTTAGATACAGAGTAAAGCTCTCTCTACATTGTCCCCATCAAAAACACCCAGGACAGGAACAGCACGGGGTTAGATACAGAGTAAATCTCCCTCTACACTGTCCCCCATCAAACACTCCCAGCACAGGGATAGCACGGGGTTAGATACAGAGTAAAGCTCCCTCTACACTGTCCCCCATCAAATACGCCCAGGACAGGGACAGCACGGGGTTAGATACAGAGTAAATCTCTCTCTGCACTGTCCCCCATCAAACACTCCCAGACCATGGACATCGGAATGGTTGACAAACCAGGAATCATAGACTCCCATTCCCCTACTCTGCAGTGCACTGAGCTCCCTGGAAATTGTATTTTAAATTGCTGCTCGTTTTGCTCCACTGTCTGCACACAGAACTGCTGCATCTACCTGGAGAGGCAGTGTAGCTACAATTTACATTCATGTAGCACCTATCACAGAAGCACATGACCCAGTGCTGCCCTGTGGGAGGGACATTGGAGGGTAGGAACGCAGGGGGTAGGTGCAGCGGGAGGCTATTCTGTCCCGTGAGCCTGCACCCCCACACGACTGCTTCGCAGCTAAACATCTGATCAAACGCCAATCTCCATTTCTTGCCTTGTTGCCCTCTATATTGGGTGGTCTGTCCATGCCTGTCTCGTACATTCTCAATGACAGACCTTCCACAGCCCTCGATGGTGGACAATTCTACAGATTCACTCCCCTTTCAGTGTAGAAATTCCTCCTTATCTCAGTCCTAAATGTTTCCTTTGATTCTAAACCCCACAGTCATAGAGTCATACAGCATGGAAACAGACCCAACCATTCCATGCCTAACATAATCCCAACTAAACTAGTCCCACCTGCCTGCTCTTGGCCCATATCCCTCCAAACCTTTCCTATTCATGTACTTATCCAAATGTTATAACTGTACCACTTCCTCTGGCAGTGCATTCCACATGCGACCCACACTCTGTAAAAACAAAACTTGCCCCTCATGTCTTTTTAAAATTTTTCTCCTCATGTGTTTAAATAGTGCCCCCTAGTCCTGAAATCCCCCATCCTAGGGAAAAACCACCTACCATTAACTTCATCCATACCCAAGACTTTACCCACACCTTCCCCACACAAGCCATTTCCCCTCACATTCCCCTCCCTCACATGGCATTACCCTCCCTCAATCCCCCTCCCTCCCTATATCCCTCTTACTCACTCGTATCTGCTTCCCTCCCTATATCCCCCTTACTCACTCATATCCGCCTCCCTCCCTA